ACACCTATATAGAAAAACCTTCAATGTAATTTTTTTTTTGTCAACCACACATTAATTTAGAAAATCAGTCCATGATTGGTAGCTCAATCAGGAGGAAAAGAGTTTACAAATGAAATTTCAGAAAATAAATTTCTAGAGTACCGAGCGAGATAATCTAAAAGAGAATAACAAGAGCGAGGAACGCTATAAACCCTTCAATGTAATTTCTGCACCAAAAACCCTAATTTATATTATTTTTAATTAAAACTGATTATAGTACACAAAAAATAATCTATATCTAATAAATTATAATCAAAATTGAATAGAAACTAGACGAAAAAGAAACGTGTTGAAAACATAATCACATATTCAATTATAAAAAAATATAATCATACATATAAAAGTAGGGTTTCACTCTCTTCTTATTGGTCTATTTAGAAATGTAACTTAATTTTTTTTATTTTTAACTAAATCATAAATAAAACACATTTAACTCACACTTTAATATAAAAACTGAAATCATTAAAATTATACATTAATTATATTTTTCCTCTCAATTTTATTCAACACACAATAAATTGGAATTGTAACTCCCATAATTTATTTATTTAAATTGTAACTTATATAATTTTTCATCCTATAAATACTCATTTCTCATTCTCTCATCCTCTCATCCTCTCACCCTTCTCCTATAGCTCAAATCTTAAATATTTTTTTGTTTTGTATTCTTACATTAGTTTTTTTTTTTTTAAAGATGCATCTTCATTGTCTATTATAGATAATCATCTTATAAGTAATCATTCTCTCATCTTCTTCTACTATATTTATGTGTCTATTTTTTATGTTGTTATATGGATTAAAAATCAAGAATTCTATTCTAAATATATTTTAGAATGTATTATATATATCTAACATAGTATTCATTTTTGTATATTTCTAAAACTATACTAAAATATACTTATTTATTCTTTAATTTTCATATTTTTAAGTTTAAATTCACATATGTATACTAAAAGTTTTGATGGTTATAACAAAATTTTCAGGTTTATTGGTGATGGTGAGTTAAATATAGCAATTCCAATCATTGCACAACAAGATAATGAAGTTGAAAAAATCCATTTCCATTTCTACTTTAGATGTTTGATTATTTTCTAATATATACATGTAACTTTTTTTTTTTGTAATACATTTATTAAATATATATTTCTTACCTTTTTCTTATCTCGAATAAATATTGTAATTTATTTTTAATATATGTATTATTATATTTACTTTTTGTGATCCAATAGATAATTATATAAAAATCGTTATACTTTTATTTTATTTAAAATTTGAGGTTTAAGTATTTTTCAAAGTAAAAAGAATTTCGTTTAAAAACATTTGGCTCTTAAGATTAAAAAAAGGAATCATATGGTTCAAGAAAATTAAATTTAGGTAGAATAGAAAATTAAAATGAAATCATTAAAGTGAAACCTAACACTCATACTTAAATAGAGTGAAATATATAAAACAATAATTATAATGAAAACAAAAATCATTTTATTAAATCATATAAAGATAAAACCATTAGTATAAAATCTAGGACTATAATTTAAATTGAAGAGTGAAATTTTTTTTTAAAAAATATAGAAGTTATCCTTGGATCTTTGATGATTTTAATTAGATTGAAGTTCATATAATTTTTATAAGAAAAATAAATTGTTTGCCACTTGCAAAATAATATGAATTTGAACTATTATGTGGAAATTTATATCAACAAACAAACAAATTATCTGTGATTTTATATCAACAATTTATTTTGTAAAAGTAATAGATAACATATGTTTATTGATGTTTACATACATAAATAATAGTAAAGTAAAAAGCAACACTAAAATATGAGCAAATGCAAGATATCAAATCTTAAGAGTCTTTTAAAAAAATTGCAATCATATTTATATTGAAACAAATATCATCCACATCATTAGCATATAATAATTTAAGATTTTTCTATAATAATATATTATAATTATATTTTATGTATTTTCTCATATTTTGTAACCTCCATACTAATAATTATCATTATGTTGTTAATGCTCACACTAAATTACAACAATACTTTAAATACAATTATACAAAATGAATTCTACACAATGAATTCTTTGAAATGTAACATAACTTTTTTGAAATGTAACATAACTTTTATGATATAAATACAATTAACTTACTCATAAATGACATCTAAACATAATTGTTAAAGTTGAATAGTTGTAAAACGTAAATATGTTGTCTTTTATAAATAGTAATATACACATATCACTAACCATCATATTCCAAATTTCATAATATTGATAAATTTTATAACAATTTCTTTTATAATCCGATTAATGGTGTTTCAATATTACATTTTTGTCAATTTTGTAAGAGGCTGTGAAGAGGAGATGACTTTTAATCAAATATTGTATTGATTAAAAGAAGTCATATACTCTTAATCATTTTTTAAAAAACATAAATATCATTGTATATAGATGAATACAATTCAAATTTTATAGAAAAAATCAAATTTGAATTTACTATCATTCATTTATTTTTCTTTAAATTTTAAATTCAAGTAAAAAAACTAAATAAAATAAATAGCAAACATATAACGTAGTATGCAACAAGCCGCGAGTATCGCGGCTAAATAACCTAGTTTTAACAAAGGAAGAGTTCACGCTCCATCTACTATCTCCACCTAAAAAAAAGCTACATTAAAGTTGCTTATTTAATGTTTACTAGTATTACCTTTAAATAAAAAAAATTCAAAAAAAAACTAAAATACACCATGAAAAAAATTAAGAAACTCGGATACATTAGGGAATTATACCACAAGTACACCTATGGAATATGTTTGACATTTTGTAGTTTAATCTCATCATTCTAATTTTCGATATGTCGAGAATTGAGCATGCATCATATCGAACACCAATGAAATTGCTTGTTGTTGTTTTATGGACTTTCTGGCGGACGTCGGCATATTGAGTACTTTTAAGGAATTTTATCCCATAACTGAAATTCAAAATCATATCTATACTATTAATTGGGAATCACTAGATATTAAACAACCAAATGAAGGGTAAAATATTACATAAGATGTCATTGGTTTTTAGTGCTTTTAAATAAATTCATTAAGGGTACAATAGTAATCACAAAATTAATATATTTAAATAAAAATAGTAAAATTATTTAAATAATTATTAGCTTCCAAAAATTAAACTCACTTTCTCTCTCTTATTAATTATGGACGAAAATATAAAATTAATTTCTAAAAAATTATTAACCAATGAGAATTGAAAAACTAAGTTTTGATATCCAACTAAGATTTTATCTAAACCAATACTAATCGACTATTCTATATAAAAAATAAAATAAAAATAATATCATTCTTTTTAAAAGATTCACCAATGGAGGATTTTAAGATTTAATTTGAAATTTTGTAAAAAAATTAAATATAAATATTTTAAGATTCAGTTTTGTTATAATATTTTCACAATTTTTGAAATATAAAATGAAATTTTATTTCATAATTTCTAAAAAACTATATTAGATATTAAAAAATATGAAATAAACTCAAATAATAATAAATTTAAAGTAATTATCATTATGGCCTTTGTTTAGAGAAAATGTCAGAAATATCTAAACGATAGATTGTACATATTAATTTCGAAATATTTTGTATTTTTTTTTTTCCTTTTCAACCGGATCTTCCTTAATTAAATCCCTAATATATTGCACAAATTTTTTTCGAACTAATATAAATTAATTATATATTTTGCATTCAAAACAAATTATGCAGCAATAACAGATCCCTTTTATAGATGTATCTCAAATTTTTATTTTTAGTCTAAAAATCGAGTTAATTATGCAAAATTTAGCTAAAGAAAGAAATATTAATAAATTTGTTAAAAAATATTTGTAACTTTAAAAGCATACATATTAATCCACAAAACTCACAATATGTATTGTATGGTATTTAAAGGTAAGCAAATAAGAATTTGGAACATGATTTTAATGGAATGAAATGAGAACGGGAATTACGAGACGAGATGTCAAGGGAACATAAATTAAAAATCACACTAAATACCCAACTGGTATGAGTTCGGGTTATGAGCACTATATAAAATAAATTTGTTACACACATAACCATGTACGTACGTTTTCAGTTACACATAATTTATTTATGATGGATACGGGACCGTAATATTTTTATTTCATGTATACGAGACGGGTTATGGGACGAAGAATTTATGACAGATACAGGACGAGATAGGTTTCCCGTTCCAAAATAGTTACGCCTAGCTAATATACATGAAATAACCTAAACTAAAACCGAATCCATATCCTATTTAACATTTGTAATCAACCTGTTAGAAATGTTTTGATTAGTTTAGAAAATAAAAAGGTAACATCACTTAACTTTTGCACCTAAATTTTATCTTAAATAAAATTTCGCACATACGTGTAGGTCTGGATCTTAAAATATAACTATGCACTAACGCAACTGAATTTCGTTCATTACACTGACTTTATAATATCTATACTATTACAAAGCTCACTAACACAACAAGTATTTTATAATTTTAAAATTTATATAACGATTTCTATAAAATATCTCTGCACGTATGAATGGATCCAGATCTAATACACTAAAATATATAAAATAAAAAATATTTATATTGAATTAAAATTTGTTAGAATTTTTTTTTAAATATGAAACCCCACACGTATGTGCGGGTCAGGATCTAATAGCTCATTACGAAAGGCCCATAAATAAGAGCTAATCCCAATTTGTATATATCACTTATCAAGTATCAACCGTAAATAAAACTACATTAATTTTGTTTGCCAGCGTTAAGAAAACTATTTAATAATTAATATTTTACGGTATTTCAATTAATTTCAAACTTATGTCATAATTATTACGTCATGTAATCAAATACAAAATATTTAACAATTTGTTATTTTCCCCCATGACATTGATAACACCTAAGATGCGTATACTATGTAGCAACATATGTAGTATAAAGCAAAAATTACAAATACATTTTGTCAAGAACATGAAAACTAGAAAAGTTGGGGTAAAGCTTAGAACATTAACATGAATCATACAATGATGCATATGTAATCAGTAAGTAAGGAGATTTTGTCCTCTCAAGGGATCAATTCACCTCTAAACACCCCGGGGCGGGCCAACAAAGGTGGAAAGGGGTGGACTCATCCCTCGGATTTTACTCAGCTATGAACTAACATACAAATGTACTAAGCGCATGTATTCAAAATCAATTAACAGCTATTAGCTATCAAAAGTACTACAAAGTAGGAATAAGAGCACCAAATATTAAGCGTATGCATGAGTGAAGAGTCTCCATTTACCGTATTTTTCTTCGAAAAAGGGCAACTAGAATACATGGCAGGTGAAGCAACCACTAAGGGAAGGAAGCTTCTTCTTCCCACATCTTTTGAAAGATGAAGCTTTACCATGGGATGCGTTTGAGACTCTATTGTCTACCACCGACCTCCTCATCTCCTCCGCTCTCTTCTCTGCTGATTTCACTTTTCTCATAATCTTTTCCATTGATGATGATCTTTTCTTTTCCAATTTCATCTGTGAAAAATATTTCTGACATTAGTTATATTACTCTAGGAGTGATATATTACTTAGAAGCTGTTGATACCAATTGCAATTGTTATATGCTTAAAGCCACAGATACAAATAAAAAGTTACAAAAATAGGATGAGATGAAAGAACCTCTAGCTTTCTTATTGCTGCCTCGGCCTTAGCTTTCTGCAAATTTTCCCAAGATATGATTCTAGCTTCTTTGGTCTTTGCGCTACATAAACACGAAACTTTCAATCAGAATCCCAAGTTGAATCCAATCATATGACAGTCTGTGATGGTACACATTAGATTAACGGTCACCTTGGCCATATCTGATATGGCATGCCTATTCAGATTCATGAATTTGTAAAATAATGACGTGGGAATAAAAATATTGTTTTCATAGATACTCAGCTAAAAACTACCATTCTTGTTGCTTATATGATTTCTCCAGAATTAAAGAGAGTGATTAATGTGTCAATCCGATAATCTAGATTTTGATTCAAGGGGAATTACGCGGAGGAATTTATTTGTAGGTGAAATGGAAGAGGGAAAGACCCTCTAACAGCTTAGAACATTACCATGTGAAATCTTGAGGGTCCCTAGCTTTTCCATGCAAGTGATCTCGCATTTTTGAGCCATTTCCATGGTACAGACCTCTGTGCTTCTTTGACCAGCGAGTTACGGTTACCTTCTCATCAACCTTTAAGTCCTTGACTTCTGCTCGGTTGGAATGAGCATTAAGTAGTTCTGAAATAGGTAGTGCTGATGGAGAGGAGGGAGAGAACGAACACTGTCTATCAGGGGAAAAGCGGATGCTTCCCTCGGGACTCATCTGGGTTGCCATATCCCTTCTTGAGACAGCTTGAGGATCAGTAGCAGCATCCTTAATACTTTCATGGATGTCATCTGTACATATTGGTAACATATCCGTAAGCACTTACCAGACCAGAATTTCAAAATGATCATGATTTTGTAACGATCAATAGAGCAAGATAATGATGTGTTCATGCATGAGTCCTTTTGTCCACTCTAATTGTAGCACAAAACCAATAGAAGTTACGGAGAGTTTATAAAAATGGGTTACATAAGTTTGATCCATCTATACCTTGGGATGAGGGTGCAAGAGTTTCAGAGCAGCCATGCATGCTAACTGATCTAGCCATGCAAGGATCGGTCCGTTGTGGGAAGGCTGTTGTAGTAGAACCCCGAGAAGAGACAGTTTCTGGCAACACACCAGCTGAAAATGGAGAGCTAGCTGTTAAGAAGCCCATGTTCCCACCATGAACCATAGGAACCGCAGGGGAATACAAAGAATAATATGCAAATCCTGCAGGTCCTAACGGACCACTCTTTGCTTTAGGTCGCCTTTCATGCGATGCTCCAAATGAAGTTCGGGTAGCTCCTTCCTTAGCAAGAGGACTAACTATCCATCTCTCTGCATCTTCCCACTTAGAAGGAACCGTTCTACCACTATACAAAGGTAAAATCCCAGCATTGGGCGGACTTCTTCCTCCGTTTGAACGTAAAGGTACTCTTTCTGAACTCCAACCCTTTTGCATACTATGCAGATAAGTCGGAGTTCCAGGACTAGGAAACACACTCGATTTATTAGTTGAAACTGAAGCTCTCTTAACATTCACCACTCGCGGAGACGAAGAGGTTACATTACTAAGATCCAACGAAACAGTCCTTTGGTAATCTAACTTTTTCGCCAGCGCTTCAGATCTAGATCTTCGTTCCTGACATTCTATAAACAGTTCAGATTAAATAACCTGTGTGTTCTCTACAGCTAATCAAAACCATGACTACTAAAGTATAAACTGTTCCTTTTTCCCCTTTTGTTATGATGTAAAGTAAACTCACCTCTAAGAGCTACAGAAAAAGAACTCCTAGCTGAATCAAGATTCTGGCTCTCATCATCCTTATTCACCTCAAACTCCTCTTTCCAAGCTGCTTTTTCCCAGTAGAAAACAACAGAAAGTAAAAAGTAAGAGACACACAAAACATGGTTTTTCAAAATTCCAAAAGCATTCTTGTTATCTTTTAGACTATTTTTGTCGCTTGTCTCTCTCTTTTCTTGACAACTTTTAATCAAATCACTAGTAACAACAACAACACTATATCAGTAGTAGTAGTAGTACCTTTTACTTTATTTGATTTTCTAGAGTTACAACTATTCTTCCACCCTGTACCACGCTTGTCTAGATCTAGATCTTTGCAGCTTGAACTTACCCTCTGATCTCGCTCCTGTTCATCTCAAATAACGCCAAACAAAAAAAGTTACTCCAAATTCAAAAACACATTGCAAGCAAGATCCAGAGTAGCTTCTTCACTAATCAAATCTATATAGTTCTATTGCATGTAACTCTAAATCCAGTGCAATTGAAAACACAAAATCTGTATTCTTCGTCATTGATTGATGAACAGTGAAATTCAAATCAATTTTGCATGATTTGACTTAGTCAAATACACGCGTATTCATAAATATCACTAGTCAAATTAGTGAACTCTCAGATTTATGAACAATGTGGGAGTACCAGAGAAGGAGCGGAGATGAGAGAGTCACGGTCGTGAGCGTCGGAGGTGGAAGAGCAACGATCGACACTGACGGAAGCGGAAGAGAAGAGACTGAGATTTGATTCCGGTGTGAAGATTATAGAGTCGGGGCTTGAGTCTCGTCGACATACTCCGGATTTCGCCGGACGGTGGACTTTGTACGATAACTCCGACGGCATTTGAGTCTTTGTGAGCTAAATCTCTCTAACCGTTTTTTGAGTTCGAGCTAGTGAGAGAGAGAGAAGAGAGAGAGAGGTTTTGTGGTAATCTGGTTTTGGTGTGACTCCTCTGCAGGAAAATTTGATAATAATGTGTGTGACTTTGACTTGTGTGAAAGACTGTTGAGGGAGAGAGAGATGAATTTTATTTACATTTTATTTGTTTTACTGATTTTTAGAGCTATCTTTTGGGGCGTGGTAGATACGAATTTTATTGAATTATAAGTGTTATTGAATGGTACGTTTTTTTGTCTTTTTTTTTTTTGAACATCAAGCTTTCCATTCATTTAGGCAATGGAAAAACGATGATAACTAACATGGAGTTTTTTTTTTAAGTAATAAATCAAATGGGTGGGAAATAAGTTTTGAATGGTTTTTTTACCTCTTGTTAATTATTATCTTTACTAATAATTTATTAAAGAAATATATATATCTTATTATATAAAGGGTTTTGTGCAAAAATTGACTTGCATTTATTTGAGATGGTGGTATTGACTTGCATTTATTTGAGATGGAGGGTTTTCTTGCAAAAATTGGCTACTTCGAGGGTTTTTTTGCACAAAACCCTTATATAAAGTATGGTTTTCAAAGTTAATAACTCACGAGATCTTGACATGTGTCAAATATTTCGATCTCAGATTTTGCCATGTGTCAAATAATTTTTTTTTTTTAATAAAAAGGTAAAAAGATAATAATAAGAAAATTATAAATGTAAACAGTTTGGAAATGTAAAAAGTTAATTGCAAGGAAATTGTACCAAACTACCTATATTTCCATCTACCAACCAAATTTTTTGTTTTTAACAACTTAAAATTGTTAAAAGATAATTGTAACCAAAATTATAAATTAAATAGTTAGATCATAGTAAGAAAACTATATGTATATATAAAGAAATTATATGTGTATTTTCCATAAAAATGAAAATTAGAAAATTATGCTAAACATTTTATTTATAAGTTACTAATTGTACAAGAAAATAGAAAAAGGATTAAGGAAATTATACAATCAATTATTATTCCAATAAGAAAAAGGATTGTAAATAATCACCTTTATATAAATAGTAAGTTATCTCATATTTTCTCACCAAGCAAACTAATTTCTTCGCACACCACCGTTGTTTTAACTTCACTCTATTGGTAAAACTTTTTTTTGGTTATAAAGTATTTTTAGGATAATATAATTAACTAACATTTGACCTAAAAATAATTAAAGAAAATATGAAATAAATACTAATAACACGAGTTAAAAAAATTTAGAAAACTAATGTTTTTAAGATATGTGAAAATTCAAAATGGCTCTCAAAAATAATTTACAAAACTAATATTTTTTAGATATTTGAAAATTCAAAATGGCTCTCAAACTAATAATACGAAAAAATCTGAAAAAAAAAAATTAATATTAGAATTCTAACAACGAAATAGAGACATCCAACAATGTCATTAAATAAAATAGCATGTCATACTGAAAAAATAGGAGTACCATGTGATTGTTATGGAGGTGATGATGGTGGTGGTTGATGGTTATAGAGGTGGTGATTGGGTGATTTTAAAAAATAACGTGATCATGTAAAAATTACATGTATTTATCATTTGTTGTAAAAATATCATATCTATTAAAAAAACAAACACTGTGAATCACGATGGTTTTCTAAAAACAGCATGTGATATTCAGATCCAAAGAATATAGGGCAATTGAGGCCAATTAAGAATTATGAACGACGATGGACATAGATTAGAGTTGTTGTCGGAGAGGCTTGGCCTGATGTCGGAGAAGATAAAGAAAGTGGAGTAATAAGAGAATTTGGGAAAAGAGGAGAAGAAGCGATAACAGTGGTGTTGGTGTTGATGACGATGGTTCAGGTAGGTGGTGGCAGCGGTGATAAATATTGATGAAGGTGGTGGATTGAAATTAGCGAGATTCGGTATTGATACTGATGGTGATTGTGATAGTAGTGAAATTCATTTGTGGTGGTGGGTTAGAGTAGTGAGACTCGGTGGTGATGTCCGACGAAGGGAAGAAATGGAGATAGGGGAAAAAAGAGGGAGGGAAAGAGAAAAAAAAAGGAGTTCAAGCAAAAATAAGATAAAACTAATGAGAAAAATATAGAGATTTGAGAATTTCTCGCCGGCGAGCGGAATGAATAAAGAGAAAACGAAGAAATAGGTAATATATATATGAACCAAAACTTGCCACGTAACTATATAATTTCATTTTTTTAACTGTCACAGTTTATTCCATCTTGCCCACATTGAAATTATAATATGTAATACACTCTTCTGATGGATGGATGTAAATAACTTATTAAAAGTCAATAATACAACATATGAATATTTATGGCTTCATAACTTATAATAAGCAAAAAATTATATAAGTTTATATATAGGCCAATATTTTATTAGATGATTTAATAATTAGTATAACATAACTACAAATAGTGTTTTATACTGCGCAATATGCATTATAAATCAAATAAAAATAATCAAAATACTGCATTATTTAAAATATATATGTTTATATAATATTAGTTATGCTTTTAAAAATAAAATTAAAAGTTAAAAATGATAATTTCGAGCGGCAATCCGTGCAACGCACAGGTCCATATCTAGAATATATATATATATATATATATATATATATATATATATATATGTATATGTGGAAGTCGAAACTAACACAATCGAGATTTGTCTAGGGTTTTATTTCAGGGATACAATAAACGAGAATTCTCAAAAAACAACAGAACGGATTGAAACCAAAGATGGTGTTCTTGATATTATTAAGAAAAATTAAAGATGACTTTGATCGTACAAGATTTTGATCGTAAAAAAAGAAAAGTGTTTTTGCTTCAGAGCTTTGTGTAGTCTAAATTCTAGGGCGATATTGCCCGTTCTTTGTGAGAGCTTTGAGTCTCTTTATATAGAGACTAGATTTTAACCCGCGGTACACCGCGGGATGATTTAATTTTAAAGTTAGTATAAAAATATTTTGTAAATTGTATCTCCTTATAACATATTTATTTATATTATAGTTTACAATTGTTATTAAGTAACGGTATACCACGAGTCCACGAGATAATTATTAATAAACTGAGGATTTAACCCGTATTAAAGCGGTATATAAATATTGATTCAAATTCGTCCGCCATATAAATCATTTCCGAAATATAACCCGTTCCGTAATTTCTTAACCCGTCCTGTGATTTGTATTAAAAAAATAAGGATTAAATCCGTATTGAAGCGGCGGATTAATGATATTTTAATCTTTTTATTATTGTTGATTCAAAAACCCGTCCCGCCAAACCCATCCCGCCAAAAAACTCATTTATTTTATTAATGTTCTTATTTATGATATGATTCTGAATCATTGTCTAAATATTTTAATCGATGTAGAACGTTGAACTCACATTTTCGTCAATTGGATAATATATGTCCGTTTTTAAAATTTCGAATCACAGTATATGCAGAAAAAAAATTGATTTTTTTTTTACTTTATGTATTATATGATGATTCAAAACAGTTAAAAACAAATCAAACAAAGATGATAGGAGAATCATAATTATAAATCTTAATCAAATCTTCTAAAAATCTAAATTATTAAATATGGAATATCCGGTGTATGAGTTGGGTTAAATATAACCCGACCCAACAAATTTTTTGTGAAGAAATTTTTAAAATGGGTCGGATATCCGATATACCCGAAAGCTTTTTTACCCACCCATCACAAAAAGTGCTGCGATTATACTTGTATAGATGATAAGCCGCCTCTCCAGCGATATTATCGGAAGATTTCCATTTATCTTTAAGTCGGCTCAGAATATCGCGGATTAGGATAGTTTCCTTATTCTTCAGGGTTTTTCGGAAGCTTTCCTGATTTGAGTTGATCTTTCGAGATTCTCCCTTATCATTTCCGTGTTTATCGGAAATGATCCTTTTTTTTCGGAAATGGTGCCTTGCTTGGAAATGGTACTTCGAAGGTGAATATTTTACCAAGTCCTTGCCTCGGGCGGTTTGGGAGATATCGACGTGACACGCAATTCCGAGCCGAGGAGACTTTGAGACGACTGGGCTCGGATATCCGAGGAGTATCGGCTCGGGTACCTGAAGAGATAGGGCTCGGGTATCCGAGGAGTACCGGCTCCGGTACCTGAAGAGATAGGGCTCGGGTATCCGAGGAGTATCGGCTCGGGTACCAGAGCTTGCTGTCAGGCCCCGAGGTGAACCTTGTGTGTTCTCCGAGGTGGATGACGTTCTGCCCCGAGGTGATCAGAGTCTGGCTCGGCGCCAAAGGATGGAATCCGACCCCAACAGTATGTATATATATTTGGGCTAATTTATTAAAGAAATATATATATTTGGGCTAATTAAAATTTATTTAGGCTAATTTATTAAAGAAATATATATGAGATATATTGGATGAAAATTTGGATCTTTTTTACGGTTGAATTCAGTGTTGATGGAGAACTTCGTATGTTGGGAACAACCCGAGATTCGTCCACTGGGGATTGATTGATCCTATGTTTCGGTTGTCGGGAGCATCCATGTAACTCCTTCAGGGTGGCATCCAAGTTTTCAGAATTTCTACATGCGTTATTAACATGGTGAGGAGGTCTTCAAGAAAACAAAATAGGGTGTATCTTTCGGAAAACTCTCCGACACTTAAATCAATAAGGGCAACGTGATTGAATAAAGAGTCTATATTCTAGTAAGCTAGTGATTATTAAGTTTTGGGTCTTAGCCGAGATTTGAAGAAAATCTTATATTTTGTGAAAGAGTTTTGAAGAAAGAAGTTATTCCGATGGGGGATTTGGATCTCTCCATCGGCCGGTGCTAGCTATTAGGGATCTAAATTAAGTGGAGAAAGAGGACTTTATGTTGAAAATGGACAGAGATTTGATTTTCATGTTATAACTGCATCACAATGTCCATTTTAAGGTTGCATTATCTATCTCTGTCTGGATCTATGTTTATATCTGGACGTCTTAACTTTGGTGTGGATACGACCTGAAATCTTCTTGGGTCTGGTTCAAGATTCGATCCTCTGGTCCCCCTCTTCCTTGGTGAAGAGACGATCCTTGATCTTTGATCCTCTGATTCAATGGTAATTTGTTTTTGATAATTAGATTCAATGGTAATTGAGAAGAGTTATCTATTGAATCTGTAAAATAATGTTGACTTAGTATGTAAATGGAAAATAACTTCTACAAAATACATCTTTATTTGAAGTTTTAACTGAGCTAATGCTTCATAGATATCAAAGATTGCATGAATCATACAACGAGAAGAAATACTCCCTCTGTTTCACAAAGAGTGTCATTTTAGAGTTTTGCACACAGATTAAGAAAACATTAA